TGAGTCTATTTCTGAGCTGTCTATGCTGTTCCTTTGGTCTATTTGTCTATTCTTGCAGTAGTACCACATTATTAATTACTGTAACTTTATAATAAGTTTTAATATCTTAGACAAGTCTTGTCACCTTATTTTTCTTTGGTAAGAGTGTCTTGGCTTTTCTTTGCATTTCCTCATCCCTTTGAATTCATCTTAGGGCAACTCACTGACCCTAGAACGTAGCTTTAACTTAATACACAATTTATAATAACTTACAGTATTTTAAATTACAGAGAGCAAAACACCAGTTCCTCAACTTTAGAGGAAGATGCAGTTGCATCTTAGAGGGATCACGGGTACCTATAAACCAAGTAGGCTCTGAGAGACTGTGGACCAGACGGGATGGGATAAATCTGCTGTGAGACACTAATGAAGGCCAAGAAAGACACTGGGTTTTAGCATCATTCCCAGAGACGAGACGGAAAAAGACCTGTGAACCCAGTAATTTCTGTCTTGTTCACTATTGGATTCCTATCCCTGGTATATAGTGGGCATTTAAAAGTATTTGTTAAATGAGTTTGCATACATCTGCATACAGTATATATTATGTGCTTCTCAGGTGACATTTATATAGCCATCAATTTCACTCTTTGCCTTAGATGCTAGAAACTTAGAAAGTTCAGTTTTCCCCCAGCTTTATTGAGGTATAATTGACAAATAAAAAAGCTAAATTTTCAACAGCCTGTGAGATTTTGTCATTTCATGGTGTTGCTTTCTGTATCACCTCAAGCCTTTTAGGAAATAAGTGATACAGATCGTTTTTTTTTTTTAATGTTGAAACAAGTGATTATCTGTCAGTGATTCGAAAGGTTTGTTGACTTTCTGTTATTTCTAAGTGAAAGTAACTTGCAGGTTCCTTAGCTCATTAAGTTCATATACATTTAAAGTTCAATTTGAAATCATATCTATAGATTCTCGTATTTCAAAATACTCAACATTTTTGGTAGAGAAACTGCCAAGTTATCCTAAGTTTTTCCATTTCGATTTTCCTTTCCTTCTTGAAAAGATGAATATAGTTGATGAAACTTACATAAACCACATGTTGATTAGTTTTCTGCCCTGAGTATTAAAATTCTATATTTTTTTAATGCAGATGTGGAATTAGAAGAAGCTATTAGAAGAAGTCTTGAGGAAATGTAATTAAAGATATTACCACACAACATCAAGTGACCTTGAAGAGACTCAGGATAATGAACAATTGAGTTTGTTTCCTAAAGGAGACCAGAAATCCACTAGTACAAATGTATTTGAAAACATGTTTTTGCTTTCATATGTTCAAAATCTGATATTTGCTTTGTATTTTTGTGCTATTGTGCAAAAATGTACAGAAGGAATAGAATACATGTTAATGCAAATATAAATCATGTATTCTAATATAGATATCACAGTTGCCCAGTTAACTTTGAATTCATATATTTAAGTTAAAAGGATTCAAAAAAAAAAAAAATAAAAAGGAGAGCTCTTGACTATTGTTTATCTCCCAGGTAGCATTAGTTCTTTAATTCTATCTGTACTATATAGATGATTCTAGTCTATTTTTTTTAGGCATGAAAATGAATATAAATAAAGGTGCCACAGGTCAATTTTTCCATAAATTCTACTTCTCATGTGGCACTAATATATGATACCTTTGAGATCTTTGTTTATGACTGTTAGAAGAGGATAATGGAAATTAATCATGGAAACAGATTAAAAATTTTATCAGCGATGTTTTTGGTGGGTATAACGCAGATGTATATTCTTGCTTTAATTAGAGCAGCACATAGCTAAAATAAAAAATATACCTTAGTTTTTAAAAAATAATTAAAGTGAAACCTTTCCATTCCTTTTACTTGCTTAGACTTTTATGTGACTTGTATGATCTACTGTTTAAAGGGAATGATGTCAAAATATTTGCATAAAATTAAACTTATTTTTTAATAATATTAGTCCTTTTTTATATATTTGTGTAAACATAGTCTTCAAAAAATGTTGACAGTCTACTCAGGAATAATCTTCCTTAACTCTTTAAAATTTTTATTTCATATGGAATACCTTCAGTTTAGTTATTCAGTTGTCAATTTCCTATATTTGGTATTACATATTTAATTCTTACATGTTGCCAGCCACATTGTGAATGATAAAAATTACTATTTAAGTAGAAGACTAAGAAGGGCTTGTCATACTATCTTTGCATATGTCTTATGTTATTTGACCAGAAATCTTATCCCTAAAAATTTTGATTAGTAATTATTTACCAAACTTAAAAATATTTCTAGAAATATAAAGCTTTATATTTAAGACAAAAAGTTATCATGGCCAGAATTTTGTTCCTTTTCTGCAACACTAGATTTTTAAGCATGAAATGGAATTGCTTTTTTTAAATTACTATAGTCTTTTCAATCCACATTAGAAACCAATTTGTGTTTTTATTTCTTAAGATGTACTTCTTTTGCTCCCTGCTTGTATTTTCTAAAACGTAGACATTGTAGCATGAGATTTTAGCAATCATCTTTCCAAAATGACCACACTGTGCTTTTAATTTTTATGTTAAAGTGGTCAAGCAAAGCTTTAGGAGATAGTCACTGAGCTGGACCTTAAACACATCTGCAGGAGCTTGCTAAGAAGTGAGGAGCCAAAATAGCATTCCAGAAAGAAGAGTGGTTAAGCAGATATGGGGCAAGAGGAGACAGCACCTTTTTGCCAGAGATGTGATGTACACTGGTGCTCTGTTAAGAAGCTTTTGTGGTGTGTGTGGTAGAGAATAGCTGAAGCCTTTGATATGACAGGAAAGAAATTATTTCATCATGACCCTTAAAAAAAGGTAATTGGGTGGTTTAATGTTTTAATTAATAATTGTCACTGATTGTATTTCTACTTGTTAATTAAAAATCATTTTAAAATTATTCCATAATTTGAACTTAATTTAGACACAAGGAAGAGATGTAATCACTGTATGACATTAGAGAAAGTTACACAGATTATCAAAAGTAAATGTTTCTAACACTGACAAAGATGCGTATCTTTTAATTACATTATTCATTCATTCTTCACTCACAAATATTCATTTAGTACTACCATGTGCCAGTGACTGTTCTAAGCACTTGGGTACACTGTGAACAAAACAAACCCCCCACCCCTTTATGGAGCATACACTGGGGGAGAGGTGAGGGTTGGACAGAGTGTTAATCAAGTAAATAAATAAAACAGCATCTCTGATGGTGATAAATACAATAAAGGAAAATGAAGAGAAAGGAATAAATAGTGCAGGGATGGGGGTATTGGGGGGAGGCCTGTTATTTTTAATAGGGTGGTCAGGAACCATCTCACTGATGGCTGAGTTTGAGCAAAGACCTGAGGAAGGTGAGAGAATGAGCCAGGCAAATACATATATATAAAGAGGAGTTCCAGGTGGAGGAGGAGAAGGTCTAGAAGGGAACTTGGTACATTCAAGAAAAAGCAAGGTGGCCAGGATGGCTGAAGCAGGATGAGCTAGGAAAGTAATAGAAGATGAAGTCCTTGAGGTTTTTCTAAGGATTTTGGCTTCTGCTCTGTAGGTTTCTAAGAATAAGTGACGTGATCTACCTTATTTAGAAGAATTGCTGTATTTGTCTTACCAAGACTACACATGAGAGGCAAGAGTAGAACAGGGAGACCAGAGAGGAGGCTATTTCAGTACTTCAGGTGCGAATTGACTGGGTGTCTTGGACTAGAGTGGTGGCAGTGCAATTGGGAAGAATCTAGATATATAACGAAGGTAGAATTGATGGCATTTACTAATGGATTGGATCTAGGGTATGAGAGAAAGAGTCCAGGATGATTCTAAAGTCACTTGATAGACTTTAAGACTATTCACAAAATGTGTTTGGATTTTAAGTTTGTATCATGATATGACAAAATATTTTTAATGAAGTCAAATAATCCCCTACACCAGTAGTTAAGTAGTATGAGTTCAGAGGTAAATGGAATCCAGGCTTGAGGGCCTCATCTCTGTTCAAGTAATTAAATAGCTTGGATCCCTAATTAAAGGTTGTGATTCAGCTTTAAACTGTTACCATGTATCATTTTCAATGCCCTGTATGTTTTCATGCTTGCAGTATGAGGCATAGAGCTATCATGAGAGGGCAGCAAAGCACAACTTTGTAAGGAGAACAATCTTTGTACTCCTAGCCCTACCCCATCTTTTACTGACCTTTATGGTGGCTAACCCAGGGGCCTACTGCATCTTTTTATTGTAACAGAGGATTTAAATAAGTTGGATGTGAAGTGGCCTTCTTACTACCAATTATTTCCCTCAAATTCCAACAGGAATAATTTTTTTCAATAGGAAAACAATTTAAAACCCCTTCATTAGAATGGGTGGAAATGTAAATTCGCCTTGCTTCCCATATCTAGCTAGACTGGAAAGGATGGGGTAGCTTTTTTTTTTTTTTTTAACTCTACAGCTTCAGTGATGTCGTGGCTTTCACTATTCTCGCTCAGGGATGTGAGTGCCTGGTAACTGGACAGGTCAGGTAGGTACAGACTGCCTAGGAGCTGCACTTAATGCTTCTGTTTCACAAAGGGACCTTTTCTCCCCGTATCAAAGGACTCTTAGAGTGTTGTTCTGGCTTTGATTTGTGGGTGCTGGGAGAAACTAAACAAAGCCGTCACTGAGCAGTACACCCACAGCCTGTACACCGCCGGGTACCTCGCGTGTGGGGAGTTGTGACTTCTGGGCTGCACGGAGAGGCGGGGCCTCGCGGGGCGGGGCGGGGCCGGGCGTGCTCCGCGGGTCTCCGCACCGGCTTCGGGTTGTTCCAGGGTCCGGGGAGCGGAAGGATCATCCGACCACGCTGAGTCCGCCCCTTTCTGCGTCCGCCCCTCGCGGTGTGTCGGAGGCTTTGGCTTCTTGAGCCCCTGTGGCCAGCGAGTCCCTTCCCAGGCCCCCGGCCCGGCGGCCCCGAGCCCCGCGTGCGCTGCTCCTGTCCTTGTTTGGCCACGCGGCAGCGGCGGTGTCGGCGCGTCCTCCTGGGCCGCCCCCGCGGGCGTCAGAAGGAGGGCGGGGGCTCCGCGCGGTGACGGCGACGCTTGCAGGCCGGAGTGCTCCACTCGCTGCCGCCGGAGAGGCCGGTGACCTCTCGACCGCCCCGCCTCAGCGGCTTAGATGGCTCAGGCTAAGATCAACGCCAAAGCCAACGAGGGGCGCTTCTGCCGCTCCTCCTCCATGGCCGACCGCTCCAGCCGCCTGCTGGAGAGCCTGGACCAGCTGGAGCTCAGGTGAGCGGCGGGCAGGCGGTGCGGGGGCGCTGGCGGCGCGTGGCGGGCCGGGGCCTGGGGCACAGTCCCGGGACAGGCTGCGGCGAGGAAGTTGCTCGTTGAGATTTGTTGTGCCGGGAGATGGTGCAGTTTTGTTTCTTGGTGGGTGTTCCTCTCCTAGGAGGAGAGAAAACGCATTCGTTTTAAGCCTGTGAGCGCGTTATTGGTGGCCACATTCTCATCAACACACCTGAGCATTTGAGAGCGGAGAAGGATGGAAGATAAAAGTTACGGTGACAGGTGACATTACTTGAGATTAAGGACTGTGGCACTCTGGGCCTGCCGAGCTTCTAGAACGTTCTGGGTGGTCCCAAATGTTTTTAACTTAACTCTTTTCCTGTTAAGCATTTTTAGGGGAGGCGGCAGTTTACCATCGCCCTCAATGTGAAAAAAGTTTTCTTGTTCCAAAACATTTCAGAGCAAAAAGGGAAAAAAATCCAGGAATTCATCTGAGAGCACAGATTAGAGAGTAGTAGGACGAATGAGGGGGCTGCGGGGCAAACGACAACTGTATTTCGTTAATGAAGACATCGCAGCTTTCCTCTCTCTCCTGACCCCCAGACCGTGTGCAGGCATTCCGTTAGTCTCAGTATTTATTGTGCACCTTTGTACACGGAAGACACTGCTGGCACCTTGGAAGTGCTAGTCACTGACCAGAAAGCATGAAAAGATAACCAGTTTTTCACTTTTACGTGCTTAAGATTTTATTAAGTAGTTAAGATAGTAGTGGGCTTGTAAAGAATTTCTAAATAATTTAATATGAATGAATTTCGGAAAGACATTTTTCCTTTAACAGTGTATGAAAACTTTTATGTACTTCCTGTAAATGTGTATGTCTCTAACGTTTACTGTGTAAATTTTGTGTGCAGGTGTAGTTAAATGAAAATGTTACCAATCCCCTGAAACTATACACAGGATTTCGTTCCCTAGCTTTCGACAGGTTCTGGATGCATAAAGAAGTATGTAAACCAAAAAGTTTAAGAAGCACTGCACGTGTGTCTTTACCTCCCTCCATTAATATACCAAAACAGGAAGAAGGGTCTGTTTGCCAAAAAATTACATTAATAGCCACAGTATCTCTTAGCAAATTTATTATTATTACTATTGAGAAAAGAACCAGAAAGTGAGCAATTCTCCTCCCACAACAATTTCATGGCTGGCAACAGATAGAGAAATCTAAGCCCTAAACCAGCTTCTGGGGTTCATCTGAGAATGAGACAAAAGGAATAGAGAAGTAATGTTTCTTCAGGGATTTTCACAAAACTAGCAAACCTGACCCACGCAACTCCCAGAAACAGTGGAGCAAAATTAGAGATTAGCGGCCTCAGCCACTTAAAGTCCCTCTAACTGATACTTCTTTTTGTGTAGCAGCATAATACGTAACTCACACATTTCTCCAGGTCTTTGGAACTTTGAAGGCATGTTCTCAGTCATTTCAGTCTCTCTCCCCTAGTCAGAAAGAAAGATTTTTTTCTTAAAAGAATGAGGAGATTACCTCTTCTTCCTTCACGCTGAGTCATTGTCCTCAAACTTGAATTAATGCCTCACTTGTGGTAGGTGCAAAAACAGTGTCAAGTGCTCCTCTTTAAAAGAAAGCTTCTGGGTTTTAGTATTATTATATTCTAATGTTTGCTTAATGTAAAGTGAATTCTGATTACTGCACATTAAGTGATTAAATTACAACTTGCTTAATTAACACTTGAGCTGAGGAGGAAAGTCTGATTAATATGTGTCTAATTGTTCATTTCAAGGACTTTTTTTTAGTAATTCTAGACTTTTGTAAGCTTTGTTTCTTTTAAAAAAGTAATACTAGCTGAAAACTAAGGAAGTGGTTCAGAAGGTAAGCAAAAATAGAGAAAAATGCTAATGCTGATCCTGTTAATGTTTTTTTGAAACCACATGGGCAATGTCACAGGGCACTGCACTATTAAAATTAGAATCCTACCTAGAAGAAGATAGATTTTTAAAAGAAAACATGAAACATATGTAATTTGATTCTAATAGTTTGATTTCATATTAAATGTGACTGATAAAGTAGTGTGTTGGGTGGAGTAAAACGTTAAAGTTTGAACTTAGAAGTGTTGTGCACTTACTGTCCCCCACCACACTGTCAGTTGCAAAACTGATAAGTTCCATACGAAACTGAAAACAAGATAATACCAAAGGCTTTACGATCTGAGTATGAACAGGCCTACATGATGTTTAAAATGTTTGCCATCAGTTCCACAAACTGGTAAAGAATTTCCATTTGTTTCTAATACTTTATCATTACATTACCCTTTCTTTGTTGATTGCTTCCTCCTAAAGAGGTGTTTCCTTTCTTTCCTGGTTTTCGTGATCAATTCTAAATGGAGTCTGAATTTTGTATTTGTTAGTGGCTCA